GGTTTATTCTTTCATTTTTAGTCCATCTTGTACTTTGTTGCGTGCTTTTCTTTATTTTAGGGTTTTCAGTATGTTTTGTTTGTGTTTCTTGGTTCTCTCCGTGTGTTTATATCATTTTTAGTGTGCATGTAAAATAGGGATCTTCGGGCAGATATTATTTCAAGAAGAAATTGGTCATGCGAGCATAATTAACTAGAAGGGTTTGTTGGCGACGAGTAGGAATAAGTGAAACTCAATTCTGAGTTCGGACGAGCACAAATGAGCCCGAAACGCAAAGACGCGCAAAACAGCCCAAGCCTCGCCCACGCTCACGACCCACGACATGGATAGAAGCCCCCAGCTCCCAGTGTTCTCCCAGATCCATGCCCCGCAGGTAATAAAAAGGGGAGGTATTTAGTGATTCAGAAAATAAATTCATTTAATTAATAGAACAATATAGATTTTATAATTATGGATTTTTAAGTATAAGATAAATTTACCAGAATAATTATTTTATAAAATCACGAAGGAAGATTATTTAGGCCAGACTTAATGGATAACGGAGATGGAATAGCGGTTGGGTGGTAGTCAAATCGAATTTTAAATAAAAATTTTAAAATGACACTTATTTTGAAATAAATATAATGTAACTTATTATCAATTACGTGCACCGTACGAGTTATGCACAATTTTAAATAGACATGTTTTATGTAATTTTGCAAAATTTAAATTTTATATAATATTTTCAATAGTTAATATAATAAATTATATTACATGTTAATTTCATAATTTTAATTTATAAGTATTATTTAATAAATATTTTACTTTATAAATATTAATGAATACTTTACGTACGAGTATATTGTATACGTATAGTATATTGTATACTAGCATAAACAGTTGTAAACCTAGGGTTTTACAAATTACAGATTGTCCTCAAAACCCTTTCCGGTCTAACAAGTTTCAATTTCTCTTCCATGGCATGAACAACACCTACGGCATTCAAGCAGGAACTCATTTCAGACCCCTAAACATCAGACCCAAACCCGCAAAACCGCACATGGCTTTCGCAACCGGAGCTCGTATACTCCGCGCTCATCCCCGGCAGCTTCCTTTTTCTGTCACTTTAGCGCCTCGTCTGCTGCTCGGTGGGCGGCACCCGGAGCTCCGTTTTCTCTCCGCCGCCGGCACCCACCAGCGCAAGAGTCTCTTTTCCGCGAAAGCTTCTTCGAGGGGGAGAGAGGAAGAGGTGGAAGAGAATGGGAGTATGGTTTCTGTGAGTGGGGGTGCCGGCAATAGCGGGAACGGAGGCAACCACAGGGTAGTAGTCACAGAGCTTCACAAGGAGGCCACAGACGCTTACATGTCCTACGCAATGTCCGTGCTTTTGGGCAGGGCGTTACCTGATGTCAGGGATGGGCTAAAGCCTGTCCACCGCCGGATACTGTGAGTTATTTTGGCAAGTTAATTTGGAAAACATATCATAGTGTGGAATGAATGAAGACATCCTTTTGATTTCATTCCCAATTTTTTGGAGACACGATTCTTCTTTTCACGTTATTGGTTAGTCTGTGGCAACTAGAGTACGCTAAGAAGATTATTTTAGTGTCTCCTTCTTTCATTCGTTTTTTTCACCTTTTTTTCTTTCAAAATCAACATCATATTAAGAAGAAGCTCAGCTGAACCTACATCTTGTTAGTAATTATTTTTCAGTCCAGAGTTTGTTTAGCATGTGAGATAAAATATAAAATGCTATTAGACACTAGGCAGTATCGAGATGAGGATTTAAATGCTGTACATTGTTTAATTTATTAAAACAGCCTCTTGACTGGAGTAACATTTTCATATTTCCTCCTTTAACACAGATATGCAATGCATGAGTTAGGCCTTTCATCAAGGAAACCTTACAAGAAGTGTGCAAGAGTAGTTGGGGAGGTACTTGATTAATATTGAGTATTTTATCACATTACACAAAAGATTGCCTTTATGATTTCATTAGTATTATGGCTGTAAAATACGGCTTTACCATCACTATGCTATCGTATTTGATTTTCCTTTTATCTTCTTAATATTTTTTACGTAACTCAGGTTCTTGGTAAGTTCCATCCACACGGGGACACTGCTGTCTATGATTCATTGGTTAGAATGGCCCAGGTAACTATTCAATTTGACAGCCTTTATATTGAATATTTAACTAGAGAATGATTGAAATATTAATGGTGACAAGCTGCACCATTAAACTCGTAGGGCTTACTAAACTAAACAGTAGTCATTTGAATTTTACTATATGGCAGCTTTATTGTGTAACGAGGGAATGATATAGACATTTGGTTCTACTGTTACTCTAAATTTACCTATGCCATAGGGATTTGACTACTGAATTTGATTTAGCCTATCTGTTTAGTTAGGCAAGAGATACTGTTTCCACAATACAGTTGATACAGATTGCTCTTCCCCCCACTCAATAATGTTAGCACACACGTTGCAGTCAAAGTGTCTTAGTTTTAATGTTATGCATCAGTATAGGCATCTGGTCTGTGTTTATCATTTATTTATGTTTTGCGTGCATAATTTTTTAATTTTGTTCCCCTGTTTCTCTGAACATGTATCCATATTTCTTAGGATTTCTCCTTGCGATCTCCACTCATCCGCGGGCATGGAAATTTTGGTTCTATTGATGCTGATCCTCCTGCAGCAATGCGTTACACAGAATGCAGACTGGAGGTAGCCTTCCAGAATTTGATACCGTTACCTTACAAGAGTTTCCGGTGCTGGATTTTATATTTTATAGCTAGTAGGTATTGATATGCTTTTGCGCTTGTTTCAGGCACTTGCAGAGGCAATGTTGTTGGCAGATCTGGAACTAGATACAGTCAGTGTCACTATTTAAGACGTCCAGTTATAGTTACTTAATTTTACTATATTTTAGCTGATGCTTCTAGAACTGAAGCGTGCACATGTTGTAGGTTGATTTTGTTCCAAACTTTGACAACTCACAAAAAGAACCATCCTTACTTCCTGCTCGCGTTCCAAACTTATTATTAAATGGTGCTTCAGGGATTGCGGTATGATTATGATCTCTCCCGTACTCTGACTATTCCTGCGTGGTTCGTCAAGGCAACTATTCCATCATTTATTTGAAGTCCATTTTATATTTGTATTCTGCCCTTAGGTTGGAATGGCAACAAATATTCCTCCGCATAATCTTGGGGAATTGGTAGATGCACTGTCTGTCTTGATTCACAACCCCGAAGCAACGGTATGATTATATCAGTCAAATCATTATCTTACGGATTCTTGTAAAATTACCTTTTGAATGAAAGATACCATAGAGTAGCTTCAATTTGTTATTTTAGTCTGAGCCTGTCCTTCAGTCATGTTCTTCTACTTCGATGGTTCCTTCTTCCTCGCTAAGTTTGAGCAAAAAAATGTCGTTATACATGTTCACACTAAGACTGTCCTTTTCATTATAAAGTATGGTGTTATTAATATTTAAAAATTTGTGATAAGAAACATATTATTTGTGGAGTTATAGAATATCAAACCGAATAATGCCTTTTTTATGTAAGGTGTTATTAATCTCTCAAAAATTGTGATCAGAAACAACATTTTTTTGTGGATAATCGATATCAAATCGAATAATGCCCTTTCTATGTGGAGGCAACTAACTTTCAAATAATATTGCAGACAAGATAATATCACTGGGGTTTAAATACAATTCACCTTTCTGTAATTTATATAGAATCAGCATTTGTTCTCTTATGATGATTGCAGAAAATGTAGGCTAATGGGTATAGGAGAACCGTTAAACTTTCTATAGTAATATATATGTTGGATCAAGTTTCTTGTCCATTATGCCTATCGTCTTTTAACAGTTGCAAGAATTGCTCGAATACATGCCTGGACCTGACTTTCCTACTGGAGGAATTATAATGGGCAACCTTGGGTAAATTATTGCATAAGCACCTTTTTCCAGATAGACACCATTTCCTTTATTTGTCTTCTCTTCCTCTTCCTTATTTTTTTTTAACTCTAGTATTTTAGAGGCATATCGAACTGGACGAGGACGTGTGGTAATTCGAGGGAAAACTGATGTTGAGTTGCTGGATCCCAAGAGCAAGCGTTCAGCAATTATCATAAAAGAGGTACCATCATTGTTCTCTTAGTGTTCTATTATTAGAATTTCTTTTGCTATTTCCTTGAGAAGATTTATAAGCATTTCCATGTCAATTCCTTGTATTCCAACCGAAACAGGTACCATATCAGACCAACAAAGCGTCCCTTGTTGAGAAAATTGCTGAACTTGTGGAAAATAAGGTACTTTCTTAGTGATATGTTATTGTCCTTGATTGAGCTTTAAGTATCGCTGAATGTTACGTTGAAGTAATCAAATAGATTTTTTGTGTTATTTCATTTGGAAATTAAATGTAGTTACCTAGTATGTATGGATGTATGTATTTAATCAATTTTGAATATGCAAGTTTATACATGTGGCCCGCAGGTTTATTTTGCCATTTTTCATAATATCTAATACTATTTTTTTTTCTCTTTTCTTTATTAATATGTCAATGTTAATATTAGCAGAATATATGGAATAAATAGCCATAATGATTTAATGATGCCAATGTTAATTTTGTCCCCAACCATGTGTTTTATGCTTTTACCAATAGTTGAGGTGGCTATTTATTTTCCTCCCGCCACTAACTAAACCAACTCATGCACACGAATAGCTGATGACCCCTTCCACTAATTAACTCATGCACATGAATAGCTGATGATGCTACTTCATAGACCAGTTCCGATATTAATCCTGCTAATTTTGGATCGCTGCTAAAATTGTTTCTTTTACCTAATTGTTTTATTTTATTACATTGGTTTCTCTTAAAATTTACAGATTTTGATGATTTATAATAACAAACTTTTCTCTTAGGTATTGGAAGGAATAAGTGATATACGTGATGAAAGTGACCGATCTGGAATGCGCATAGTCATTGAGGTAATGGTGTTAATTGGTGATCTGTATGTAGTTTACCATTGTTGGTGATGCTATGGCACTGTTTCCAGTTCTAAAATGTATGCACATCATTTAGATTTAGTAGATCTTTGATTCATTATTCATTCCTTCAATGCTTTGTTTTTTCTTATCCCAAACTTTTCAGCTTAAGAGGGGAGCAGATCCATCCATTGTGTTAAACAATCTATATCGTTTAACTGCTCTGCAGTCCACATTTAGCTGCAACATGGTGGGGTAAGTAGTTCGAGACCTATAGATTTCTAGTTTTTGTTATTAATCAAATGTGTACATGGAATTCTTTTGCTTTAGGCATTTCATGAACAATAAGCGAAGTCAAGTTACTGCTAGCTTCGATTAAAAAGTGGACATGCTGTTATTTGCTTGGATATGTGCTGTTACTCTTCACATTATTGATTTCTTCCTTGATTTATCTGAAAAAGAGGAGAAAGGTAAAGGTCAGTGTAGCTAGATGGGTAGGAATAATTAGCTGGTTAATCTGATATTATACCTTTTACTTTGAAATATGTTTATTGATCTATTTCATCCTAAATCTAACTAAATAATGCTAGATTACATAGCATAATAGCAGTATGCACATGTTTTGTCCCCACTACATTAACGTTGGATACCTACCATATAATATTAATATCGAATATCATACTATGGTTTTGTTTATCTACCAACACTCAATAATATCAAATATCATACTTTGGTGTCATTATCAACATGTGATGGATAACTTGGACACAAGTGTACACAAATTAAGTTTGTGGTCAATCAAATGGCACCACATGGAATTAATCTGTTAAAAATCAAGTCATATTATGTTTCGGGATTTTTCTGAAATTTAATTCCTAAAATTAAATAGTTGATTAATTGATATTTTAGTAAACTGTACGGTTGGAGGTGTGGGGTTGAATCAGCCAGAAAGTTCCCAACAATCGAGTAAAATATTTTTCATGTTTATAATTCAATACACGAAATTTTTTGTTACAACAAGTACTATAGAATTGAAGTAATTGCAGCAACACTAAAATAACTATTCAGAATAATTACATTATTTTTGAATAACTATATTACTAACTATGTTAATAAAAGATTAGAAATTTAATAGTAATAATACTGAAGAATACGATAATAACTATGTAAACCAAATGAGAATGATAAACATATTTGCATAAGAGTTTCTAATGTAGAATAAGCTATAAAAATCATGAATTAGCGGATATAATAATGGGTAAATAACTATTTACCCCCGAACTTATGCGTTTTTTGCCACTTACCCCATACCTTTTTATTTAGAAAAACAACCATACGAACCTTTTGTTTTCTAATAATGTCCCCTATAATAGAATTTACCTCGGTTTTGATTGTTTATATTTGGTTTCTATTTTTGCCCACATGAATTAAGTCGAAAAAAAACCTGTGCGAAAAAAAAAAAACGATGGAACAAGAGTTTGTAATCATCACCCTCTTTAGATATAAATTATTCATTTATATATTTTAATTTTTGCAAAGTAGAATATAATTTGAAAGGAAAAATATACAACAATAATATGAATCACCATATTTCCAACAACTCTCTTATTGTTTTCAAGATAACTGTAATAGAAAAAAATATATTATAACAATCAAAACAAAATTGCAACTGTCCAAATTTTTAACCAGAAGCAAATTCAGTTACTGATACAAATTTTCCGAAGCCCCACCTCCTTTCTCTCTCTCCACCACACATCCCTAATCCACGACCACTACCATGCCACCATGTGATTGCACTGGGTGGTGGATCCATATCCGGCACTTCCCACCCCAATTCAATCTGGACCTCCTCACCAAGTGCTTGATAGCTTATGCCCCTTCATCCAATTACGGCCTTGGCCCCAAGACCCACAACTCCTACTGCTGATGGTACTGCTCCAACCCCTCCATGCTCGAGCGACATTATTGATATTGATCTGTCCACAAATTTAATTGACCCCATTAGTTAAATTTGTTTCAAACTAATAAGATTATTCATAAAATGCATGCAAAGACAAAAATACCCATGATTGAAGACAATGCTTGTAGGCGGTTTCTGGAAGCAATGTGAAATTTTAAAGTACATATGGTTTGTCAACAAAAAAATGTTTAGAGGGTAAGTGGCAAAAAATCTCATATAAGTTTGGATAGTAAATAGTTGTTTACCCTGTAATAACAAATATGGTTTATAATATTGTCGTTGATGATAATGGTATTACTGTTCTGAGGGACAATACATTCTTATCAGGGCTCCTTGCTAAATTTGAACTTTCTGTAAAGATTCACCTGCTAGTTGAATAATAAAATGAGAATTGTTATCAAGATTAGTCGAAAAGTATGCAGGATTAATGCTATCCCAAATAAGTAATCAAAAGATAACAGACAATCAGATAAATGCAGAGCTTGACAACATGTCTACTTGATTTGCAATATCCCAAATTAAGTAATAAAAAGAACCAGACATGCAGAAAAGTGCAGGGCTTGACAACATGTCTACTTATTTTAGCCTCATTGATCATAGATGTATTCATGTTCCTTTGACGTTTT